TCTTACTTCATCAGTTATTATATACCAATAAAAACAATACACAATTTACAAACCATCATTGACAATACAGAGAGAATATACAGATTTCATTTATGTTAACATAACATAGAGTTAAAATCAATCACTAACAATATCCCAAATAATGAGGATTTATAAAATAATGATATGCAAATTAATTATCTCTATGTACTTTGATATGCAATGGAGATCCCATTCTGCATGCAAATCAACAATACATATTTCAAACCAATAATAATGTCACAGAAAGCAGTGGACATTCGGAAAAATTTGATTGCATGGAAAAAAAATTAGTGACATTATATAATCACCACATTTAAAAGTGCAAAATGTTTGTACTAACTAACCATTTTTTTCTCAGATTAACTCAGTTGCATTTATCATTTTTAGAAATGTACCATTGTCTTAGATTTGTGTGATCAACTCGTGTGTATTTGTATTGAGGTTTTCATCACAGAGGAAACAAGTAGGATAATCTTGTCTAAAAATCCTTACCCAATATAATTACGAAGTAGAATTTTGTAGAAACTTCAACTGATAAAAAACAACTACATTGAGAAAGTTTTTTTTACATGACGAAGGGAATGTACAAGAAAAGGCCATTTTACAAGACAATATTTGAGCAACACATCTGTTAGGTGACACTTGAACAAGGCAATGCAGGCTACAAGTGTCACCTGAAAAACTAGCATGGAGTGTTTTCAGATGACATTAACAGTCTGAGATTGTTTATCATGTAAAATAGCCTTAACTGTATGCATGATGCATAATAGAAGTTGCAAAGAACATTTGTCTATTTCATTTCATGAGATTAGTCATAGGTGTACATTATTTCAAATGTCTGTTACAGCGGTTTTGAGAATTATTCAGACATGTAGTCAGTTAGCTCACAACTTTGCAAAACGCTTGACATTTGCTTTGTTCTCAACTTGGCGGCACTGTCAGATGACGTGCTGTTTGTGATTCATTGGTTTCTAAGGTGAACAACATGATGATTTGTAAACTTACTGTAATAACACTCAATAAATATTCTTCATTTCTTGTTTATCTACATTGTAATTCATGAACTAATAAAAGATTAAAAACATCTGTTGGTATATATTCTAATAAATGCATATCATTTTGAAAAACTTACCTGCCTTACCCTTATAGAGTATGAAATGTGATCTACACTGTGTCAATGAAACAGTACCATCAAGTCTAGATAAAACAAAAACCATAGTGTTTTGCAAAGTTGCAAGCTATCTAAAAAATTGTCTACTGACTGTCTGAATAATTCTCAGAATGACTGTAAATTAAATTTAAGAGTTGTCATGAAAACTTTTAGCGCTTTTTCTTTTTTGCAGCTTTCTTTTCTGCTTTGATTTCTTTATCTGATGGCATTTTCTTGAGTTTATCATAGAAATAATAAAGAACGCAACCCAATGCTATTGGAATAGATAGAAACCTGATATGTGGAATCAATTTGTCCTCAAAACTTGGTTTCTGAAGTCCCATCAGCTGTGTTTCAAAGATCAGCGTAGCATCAGCTGAAAGAAAAGCGGATTCATATTAAGAATTCAGACAACATATGACTAATACATGTACATATAGGAGTACAGGTTATAAGTTATATACATGTTTAGAATTCAGGTATATATCATACTCATCTGACTTAGTGACTAGGGTGCTCATAGAGCTCAGTTTTTAGGGGTGGGGCATTTTATTTAAACACCCCACTCGAAAAAAATGGCTGTTTGAGAATACCGGGAGTAGTATGATTTTTGGGGGTAAATAAAATTGTGAAATGAGTTTCATTGTCATTGATTAAGTTAGCGTGCAAGTTAAACTATTTACACAACATTTTTACAAAAACGAAACAAAAATGAAAAAAACAAAACATTTTATTAAAATGTTATTTACATACCATCATATACCATTAGTTATATACACCTACGGTATAATAAACCCCTTGGGATTCACACACCTAGAATACTATATATACCTTGAGTATCAGACACCTAGGTTATTATATACCCAGTATACATGTACCATACAAAATGTATGTGCTACATAAACCTAGAGTATACTGTACCTTGGGTTTCGCACACCTAGCCCACTATATATACCTTGGATTTCATGCACCTGGGGTAATATATATACTTATGGTTTCACATACCTTAGACCTATATATACCTTGGATTTATGCACCTGGGGTAATATATATACCTATGGTTTCACATACCTTAGACCTATATATACCCTTGGATTTCACAATGCCCTTCCCAAAATTAGCAAGTTACTAATAAAACACTAGTTTGTAGAAAATTAACATCAACACTGAAATCAGTGTTTGTACATGTTGTTGTTTAATGCATTGTTAGATCCACTCTGGTCAGCAAACATATGGCGCATTGAGGTGCACATATAGACAGCTTAATTTAACACAGACTTATGTAGCTTTGACAAGTTAGGTTATATCAAATCAGATCAGATATTCTAGCAAGATTCTCACTGTTTCCTTTCCAATTTTCATACAAATATCTGATCAGATTTTCACTGATATTCTTTTTGGATTTTACAACTTCTGACCTTGGCTAATATTCCCGTCAAAATTTAGTTGTCCCTTGAATTTCTCAGATTCGGATTTTTTTTACTGAAAGCATGCAAAACTGGGCATTGTAAAAGTTGTAATTTATATATTATTCTAATCAACGATAAAAACAATTAATCAGACAATAAAACATGTCAACAAAAATAGAAGGCAAATTAATTTAATAAATTATTACAGCTGTTGATGGTGTTACCTGCAGAAGGAGTCTTAGACTAGCTATTTCAGTAAAACATTTGAAATCCAAACATCAAAGTATATTCATACATAAAAATATTTTCTAACTCAAATCTTCATTACTACAGAAAATCTAACGAAGACCTACTATAAAATAGATGCCAGCAAGAAAACATGGAAAACATGGAAAACATCATAGCGAGACAGTGCTGGAACTAGATTGGGCATGTGATGAGGAAAGAACCAAACAGCACCACAATAGTAGCCCTACATTGGACACCAGATCGAAAAAGAAAGAGAGGATGCCCCAAAACCACCTGGTGTCAGATGTTAGAGAATGAATTGAAAGCAATAAACTTGATGAAGTGATGAGGTGTCTTGCAAACGGCCAAAAACAGACAGGAGTGGAGATCCTTTGTTTCTGCCATACATGTCCCTTGGTATAATGGGCAGTAAACTAAACCCCAAGTACACATGGCTCAGACATATTTGGTTTACATTGATGTAGTATACTTACGTGGAATTGTCGGCAGGCTTCCTTTTTTTCCATATGCTAAGTTTGGTGGTACAATCAGTTTTCTGCGTTCACTGAAATAAACAATTCAGTGACTTTTAGCTTTAAATATATTTGGTGAACTTTGATAAACATCATGAAGCAGAGACAAAAAGTTGACAACCAGCACAGAAAAATATTTGGGTGAATTTTTATGTTCCATATAGGAACTGAGCATAACTTAACAATTAGCTATACCGGTCACTGGTAGCCTAGTGGTCGTCGCATCAGAATCATGACCGATAGTTCAAATCCTACCTTAGGCTAAACATCAAAAGGGTCAACCCCTACCCTGGGTGAGTGTGCCACAGACTCAATGGGAAGGCCATTCCACTGGCCGACTTTGGGGGAACCTTGGTTAAGGTCCGCAGGTGCTTGTATTCAACCGAGCCTGGTTGACGCCAGGATAGCGCATTAAAATTGCCATTTGACAGAGAGATGGCCACACAGCCCTGTCATGTAGTCCCAAACATGAATATGACTTCTGTGGCAAAAATGCACTATGTGTCAGCACTAACAATTGTAATTTGCACATACAAAAAAAAGTCAGGAGAGACAACAGTGACACTCAATGTCTGAAACTGTCGCCTGGCACAACAAACAAATTGTAATTACTTAAACAAACTTGCACCTATCTACATTATGGATGGACAGCTTTATGCAGTGAAAAGTGTGAGTAATAATGGATCTTTCAAAGTGAAAAGGACACTCTTCATTGATAAATTACAACAAGAACTCATTTTGAATTAAAATTTAACCAAAAGTGGCAGTAAATTAATCTATAGAAGGGGTTAATATTCTAAAATTAGAGAGATTGAAAACATCTGGTAATTAATATAATACTTATTCAAATTTACTGCAACCATATGTCGGCAAAAACATAAAAGATATATCAACGGATAAGAGAATATGTTATTATCACTTAGAAGTTCAACGTGATTAAAGGTAATTCACCTAGCACAAAAAAAATATTTAAAAAAAAAAAAATTAGCTATTATAGCTCTTAGCTGGATTTAAATGCAGCTTCTATTTTAGCCGAGTATGTGTCACATCAGTAACAAATTCTCACTATAACAATTTCAAGTTTCTATGAAAAGTCAAAGCCAGCTTAGAACCAGTTTGGGAGTTATGTTCTGCTTGGGCTGAACAGTATGGCTTTCACTAAGCTTAATTGTCATACTCAATTCTTTCAAAAGCTTACCCTTCCACAGACTAGACTAGGGTTTGATAATCCCTATAGTCAAGAATGTAAATATATTTATTAAGTGATTCAGGCACTGAGCTTATATTGTCTTTTGCAAACTATGTATATTTCATTTTTAAAGTTGTAGATTGATATTTGTATTCAGTGGTCATACTGCTGAATAATATTAACATTGGTATTGTGTTAATTATTTGTTTCAATTGGATCACCCATTTATTGAATTTCAATCAGGTACCATAGTTACTGCACCCCATAGTACATATTTATCATCTTTTTAACTGCAACACATTACATGGATATGACTGAATAGACTGGTTCAGTGACGGTAATTTTATTTCATATTTGATTTCAAGTATAAATAATTGCTTGCAAATGTCAGAGGCAAGACTTTTGTAAATTTACAATCAATTTATAAAAAATAGAAGTTTCTAGTTTAAAATAGCAGCAACAACAAACACTAGTAATTTGAAATATTGAATTATGTCATTATTGGCAGCATTCAAAATAACAATACAATACAAGTCCACTCCAATGAATTCCACCCACACATACAATATCTAAAGGGCAACTTTACATAGATTTTAAGGGTCTGTTGCATTGTACCATTTTAATAGAAGTCGCAGCTTCTAATACAAATTTTACAGTACTACAAATTCTTGAGATTTTGCAAAACAAAACCTCTCATAAAATATGACAAAGAAGCAATAAAAGGGGAGTCTGTTATCAAAACTTGTTTCCATGGAAACATAGCATTAACCCCCCCCTCCCCCAACTTAAGTGGCCATTTTGAAACAAAAGTTGGTAAAAACAAACCTAGAGTTTCTAATGCAATGGAACAGCACTGTTATTGTGAATTCTTGCTATTGAAAGCCTGCCGATGCCATTTTGTATCCCAATATTTCACACTCTTGAAAAAAAACAATTACTTTTACTACTCTATTAGTTTTCAGTATTTATTTTTGTGACACCAAAAAATTGGCCAGCAGCCAGCGATGTTTCAGATAAATGCAGTATAATGATACACCATATTTTGATCTATTTGACAAACTGTTAATAGAAAACAAAATAATACTAGTTGAAAATACAGTGACTCCTAATTAAGTCACGCCTCAGTAAATTGCGATATTTGGCTAAGTTGCGGGTAGTTGAAAGGCTCCCAACAATTCTATTGTGTTTTGCCATCAGTTTTGAAGTAAAAAAACTAATGTTTTATTGCATTTTGTATTTAATTAGCCGTTAAAGGGTTGGAGGAGACAACTTAACACCTCCTGTCAGTCAATTACTACGATACAAAGAGTAAAGGTTTGGGATTTTGCAGAAAAGGCACGCTATACATGAAGTCTCGATCCAAAGCAAAACTCGATTCACGGACATGGACGCTGTGATGTAACAAATGGATAGATGGATACAAATTAACAATGCATGATCTTTTCCTAAAACAATGCAATAATATTTCTAATCAAAGAAAGCTTAGAAAGAACTCCCGTGTGCTGAGAGTATTGGAGACACATTAAAATTAATTCAACATGAAGACTTGCTTTTCAAAGGACAGGCTTGGCAACTAATATTTGTCTGCTATTTGAAATGCACAACATAAGATCAATATGAATCACATTATCAAAATTTATAATACATACAGAACATACATTCGATTTTTCATCCAAGGTTTTTTATCTAATAAAGAATTCAATTTAAATCTGATTTTGTTAGATATCTGAAATTGGCTAATAATAGATAATCAAAATGCATGTTTATCAACATTAAACTAATCATGTCTGTGGATTACCTCAATGAACTAAATGAATTATTATACAAATTAAGCAATAATTATGCATAGATTTAGGTCTGTATTTTGTTTCAGGGTGCACATGTACAAAGTTTCATTATGATGTGATGATTAATCCTAATTAAATCAGTGGAAAGCTGAAAAGTAAATTATTATGCAAATTAGGTAATTATTATAGATGTATATATATCTAAAACTATTTAGATCATCACATTGTGATGGTATATATATGTACCAAGATTAATTGAATTAAGATAAGTACTGTCACATACCATTTTTGTACAAAGTTTCATTGAAATATGATTAGAACCAAAAAATTATGAATTTTTATGAATATTAGGTAATTAATATGATCCGATTTCAGGTCTGTGCATTGTTATGAAGCATCAATGTACCAAGTTTCTTTGAAATGGAAGAATTAGTACATGTGATACATGTATCAGAGTGAAAATTGACTGATTATGCAAATTAGCTAATTAATATGCACTGTACCAAGTTTCATTGAAAAGTAATGAAGTAACAGTGTTCTCCACAAATAAAATTTAAAGAGGGGTGCTAATTTGCATATAATTAGCATACTAATCAAACATTTCAAAGGAAATTCTTAGCACTTTTATATTTACATCAATTAAATACTGTGTACAAGTACTATAATATTAATGTTCTTGAATTATTTTGATGAATAAGTTAAACCACTTGATGTGTAAAAAAAAATAAACTTTGACAAATGAAGAATATCAATTTTATTCTTTGTAAAAGTGTAATGGAACAAGTTGTGAAATAGAATTTCATTTATTTCTCTTAAATTTCTTTCAAATATTTCCATTTTCATAGGTTTTATAAATGCACTGAGATATTGTAATAGTTGAAAACCCCGGGTAATAAGAAGAAAAATATTTTCACATAACAAAATTACCATTTAAAAGAAAAAAAGAAAAAATCGAATCCAATGACTCTTCGTGTTGATTGCATTGTGGGTACTGATGACAAATGTCAAATCAGATACCGTGACATCCATGTTGTTTCAGTGTTTACCGTACGTTTTGTTTTGGTGATTTATTTGATGACAAGCAATTGGACCAATAAGTTGTTGCTGGTTCTCCTGTTCTTAAGTATCTTAGCTATTTCAGGAATGATGAGAAAACTTGTTTTGACTATCCCATTGCGTGATTAACGCATTGCTTGTGACAATCACTTCACGCATCCATTCATTGTTTTTTGTTTATTTATTCAGCCAGTTTTTCCCCAGACATCAAATCCATTGTACTAGTTGTCACCTATGTTACTATCTGTCTCTTAGTTCTTCGTTTTATCGCCTGTCAATTAATAAGAGGTCTTTCAATAACGTCGTCGGGATATCTTCCGGGACTGTGAAACAGCCTATCACCGAAAACAAAGGAGGGTGCTGAAGATAAATAGATGGGCACTACAAATTGAAGAGGGGCGCAAATGAATTAAAGAGGGGCGCTTCGCCCCTCTTAAACTCCTCGTGGAGAACACTGAATACTCAACTAACAATACAATGTATTTGATCGGGACGGGAAATGTGAATGCAGGGCGCTTGTTGACCGATGCAGGGCGCACGACTACCTATGCAGGGCGCACGACTTCCTATGCAGGGCACTGCGCCCTGCTAAAACCCCTCGTGGAGAACACTGAGTAATAATACTTGAAATATCAATAGCTGAAAATTGAATAATTATGCAAATTAGGTAATTAATATTAACTATAATTGTCTGTGCATTGTCCTATGTATCTACACAAGTTTCATTGAAATGTGACCTGAGATATCAGTGGAAAAGCTGAAAATTGACTAGTCATTATGCAAATTTGGTTAATTATATGCATTGAGTTTCACCCAAAACTATAAAATCTATGCATTAGTCCAGAGCATCTATCAGTGGAACAGTCATGGAACAGCTAAAAATGTCACATCCAGATGCAACCAAACAAACTTGATAGTATTTATTAGAGATAAAACAAATTACACCATTTTGTTTTTTGGTTTAATTCCACAATGTTACCCTGGGTTTCATGAGAGAATGAATTTGTTTAATGAACATTTATAAAACATTCATCCCGAAAGACCCTCATGCATCATTTCAATCATAATGCTTTCATTTGGGAATGCCCATTACCCATGAGTCTTTGCAGGGCTTCTTTAATCGCTGGCCGCTTTATTGACATGATTGCAAATGATAGAGTATTAGTAAAATAGTAACAAGTAATAGTAGTATCATTATTGTTTAGCACAGAGCATGAAATTGCTAGAGCGAATCAGTCACTGTGTCAACAAGAGGTCAATAAGGATTTCTATACAGTGTGTGTTCAACTGCTAAGGCATGTGATGGGTCAAGTTGTTTTCAATCACCATTTGTCTTGATATCTACTATTGGTTTTGGAAATATGGGCACGGTTCCTGTTCCCATTATGAATTTTGTACAATATAGTTTACAAGACTTACTAAAGCCTTCAAAACTATATGAGAATTTCCACAAAAAATGTTGGTCTACAGATGGTTTGGAGTGGTGGGTTTTAAGTCTACTCAGAATCTTCTACTCCGTCCTCTTTGAGATGAAATGTTCTCAGTCTGTTGCCTCAACATTTTATCTGGGATTATCCTATGCATTATTTACATATCACTGAACTTACCCTACACACATGCCTTTCAAACCTTTTTCCCATCCAGGGATCACTTTTTTAGCACCAAGAACAAACTCAAATGGATGCCCTTTATCATATGACGTGTCAAAAACTCCGCCATTTTCCAACTTTCCCTATAGAATGAACAACAGAAATGAAAGTGTATTTTGAGTTGAATTGTTTTGATCTCGATAATTTATGCAGAGTCCCTGGCCTTAAGGTAGAAGCCAACTCATAAATAAAAATACCCAGAATTTATTCACTTTCCAATAAATTGTACTTCCGTCAGTATAAGGATATTGAGTTAAAAAAAGTTGGGGGGCACCAGCTTAATTTTTTAGAAAATGATAGTTGAATTTTAGTGGATAGTGTCCATTTTGGCACTATTATAACGTTTTTACCATAGGTTCCTAAAGCACAGATATTATGCTTTATCTCAAATTGTAGGCTGGTGACATAGGCTGAACAAGTTATATATTGTGAATGATGGGGTACTTTTTGTTTTGTCTTCAATTATTACAAAAATCTGGGTTTAAAAAAGTGCCAAAAAATGCAATTTTTCTTTAACATTGTGCGCTATGGAATTGTTCTAAAAATAACAATTTTTGAAAAATATTAGGACAAGTTTCTCAAAATAGGTCTCTGTAACACACAAAATAATGATATTTCATGGTGCCATGAGACATTAGCTTCATAATTGTATAAAACCAATGAACACTGTCATGCGATTTATGACCAAATTTTACAAAAATTATGAGTAGGCTTCTACCTTAAGTCAGGTTCTAAGAGCGGTTGTTGTCGCACTGTGCATGCACAAGGTATGGGTTAGATATTATTAACAAAGACTGTGATATGCAGATAAATATGTACAAGTAGGAAACAATGCCAAGGTTAAACTAGGTAATTTATAGGTTGGATTGGAGTTCATCATGACATCAAAGTCAGTAATCAGTACATGCACATCTCACACATGCACATTAAGAGGATCATCACCATTTATTATTGATATCACTGTAGTACAACAATACATCCTACACACTATTGTATCTGTTTTCCAGCGACTGAAAGCAACATATGACAGTTGGAATCCAGTAAAACTCTTGACAGAAGTAATTTGGCACAAAACACCGTCATGCACTATTATTGAAATATCAGAATATTTCAGATTGATTTCAACTAGATCAAATTGCCAATCATTATTTAATTGCATATCTCATACAAACATTTAATTCATGATGAAAGGTCGCAACCCTATCAAAACATGACAGCTCTTTTAAAAAATAAAATAATTTCAAATTATGGAAAATTATTATAATTATGCTGGGCATATGGAAGTGATAATTTGAATGACATATGACACAATGCGGTAAACGTGAGATGATCAATGTAAGGGTAATTATCAATTAAACTAGCCATTCTGTAATAAGATGCGTGTTAGCTTATCGATTCATTTTAATCTCAAAGCATAATACATGTACCACATGACAATTTTCTCACTGGAATCTAGAATTACCATATGCTAGGAATACATAGATACTGTAGAAATATTAATGTTGATGGAATTTTAATGAACACATTGAAGTCCACATATACATGTATTTCATAGTAAACCAAAGAAATAATATTGTTTGTATCAACCCATGGACTGAACATAAGCAATGCTGTTTAGAACTTGAGAAATTAAATTATTTTTGTGTATACATGTATGCTATAGTTGTAGATGATCGTTTGCATGATGTTTGATTCCTCCAGTGTTTCTAACACCATGTACTGTACATGTTTTTGCTTTCATTAAATTCATAAATAAGAGACGAACAAAATCTGGGTTGGACGAAATTTTGGATAGGTAAAAACAGCACAATTCTCCCATTGGTAGGAATTTTAGAAGCAAACAAATTTCAAAAAAATTGACTAAATAATTAGATGGTCAAATTTCTAGAGTAGGTAACTTTTTAGAGTTTTTATGGTAATGGGCATATGTGTGACATGGTGTTTGAGGTATCTATAAAATTTGAGCAAGACCACATTTATTTAAAACAAAATGACTACAAGTCCGCCAATTTGAATCCGATCTAAAAAAAACAAAATGATGTGTCCAATATTCAATACACACACAACCAGAATCTGGTTCTGGAATTAAAGAAATGTTTGATTTTTATGAATTTTTAACATTAAAATGGTCGTCATTCGGCCATCTTGAATCAGATCATGAAACAAATGGACATGCATAACACGTGTGACGTTTGACCGGATTGGTCTAGGCATGTCTGAGGTACAGGTGCAGACTGACTGACCTACACTTGCACATGGAGGATCTTTGAATTTCCGTTTTCAGACTGTGTTAGACTAAAATGTAAGGTACAGAAAACAATGTCATTCTTAATGGCATAGTCCCCATTGGAATTAGGGGAAATGTTATTCATGCCAAAAATATGTAATATGCACCAAATGCATAGTTAGTAATTGAGAATGATTAATTGGCTGGTCTAGTATCAACAGAAATTTGATGTGTTAAATGACTCTTCCAAAATCGAAATACAATGTATATGGTCAGAAATTCAAAATGAATTTCATTTGTCCAAACTCATAAGTGTATACCAGTTTATTTGTCATTGGGTTTACCTAATAACATTACTTTTAACAGTGCTTTGATGCCAGAAAATTAATAATTTTAAAATTTATAATTCAACCTATAAACTGAATATCTTGGCTATACACACCAGATAAACAGAATCTCAAATATCCATGATTCAATCAATTAGTCCAAAGAACTAAAAACTGATATATTTACAGTAATTACCCGTCATTAAGGCATATAGTGTACAAGCAGGAATTAATTTTCACTGAAAAGGCTTTTTGGGTCTTTTGCATAGAATTTATTTTCACTGGTTTTTGATGATTTGAATATGAAATATAGGAAAAAAGGTATTTTCACTGGATTTTATTTTCACTGAATCATCCTTTAAGCGAAAATAGCAAAAATAAATTCCAAGCGAAAATTATTTTACAATATTACAGACCAGAGACAGATGAACTATGGTTACACAATGTGAAACAAAGAAATAGACGAAAAAAACAGACAATAAAATTATTCACATTCTGTACAACAAAAAACAATTGTTCAATTCATTTGCAACCAGACTAACTCATGTTTGGGAAAAATTCCAAAAAATATTTGTTTTTATTTTTGTTTTATTTTTGTATTAATTTAGATTTTTTCAACCATGTACATGTAAATTTCGATACAAACTTTGGAAACTGACGTAGAAGTGTATTATGATGTATATCAACTTGGGACTAAAAAGTATCTATTTCTGGTCATTGTGTATGAAGTCATTTAAATTGTGCTGTTTTTTTGTTTTTTTATTAGAATTTTAGAAAAACAAAAGAATTAAATTTTCATAAAAATCTACTGAAGTAGTATTTTTTGTTCATACTTACAGTGTAATGTATCTGCAATGTGTCACCATCCTCTGCATACTCAGAACAATCCTCATCATTTGTCTGAAAGAAACAATTAGATTTATTGTGAGGAAAAAAAGAAATTAAAATTTTCCATTAATAATTTTTTTATTGTAAGCCTGATTGCTCCTACCCCCATTCTGACTACTGTAAAATACTTTATTTTCACTTGGAATTAATTTCGCTGAAGGTATGATTCAGTGAAAATAAAAAACCAGTGAATATACTATTTTTCCGATATTTTTACATTCAACTCGTTCAAAAATCAGTGAAAATAAATTATATACAAAACACCCAAAAAGTCTTTTTATCAAAAATTAATTGCAGCTAAAATAAAGTATTTTACAGTATATAGCAAGCAAACAGTATGTATGACAGTATGTCTGTAATCAGTGTGTGCAGGCAAATAATACTTATGACGAGAGATTCAAAACCTGTTTATGTTTTCACAATTTACAACCATGATATCATAATACTGATACTTTGCCAAAGTTATAATGATTATGTGAACATTGGTTTATATTTCCTTGGAAACCTAGTTTGATTCAAGAGCAGAAAAGAAAAAGTAGAAGTCCCTCATGAATAATTTCTTGTCAATTACTGTTGAGTAAGAGTGACAGTTAACAAATAAACCCCTCTGTTATCTGTCTGTATTTATTGACGCAACACTGACTTTGGAAAGTACACCAGTAAGGTCACTAAAACTACAAGATAAAAAAATGATTAACGATGAAAGATAAAAAGTAGACACACATTACAAAGTTGCATTTACAAATTACAAGATTTACTGACAATTAAACATAGGAAAATACAACAAAATGTGTATATAGTACTATGAGGTACTGCGTTTGAGGCAGTGTTTAATAAATTGTGCCACATTGATCTGTTTACTGCAATGACTCAGAGTCATTTTGGAAATAAATTGACTATGAACAAGTTATTGAAATTATTATGTCTTTGGTCGTATCTTCAACTAGAGACTTTCTGCGTTATTCATACTTTGGACATGACATCAATAGATGGAATTGATCTTCAAATTAACCTGTATTACATAAGTCAGACATTCTCCTCTCAACTGGTGTTTTTGTGTGCCAACCAGTTTCAATTTTTAAATCGTGATTCCCTATTCTAAATTTGATTTGGTGTTTATGCAGTTCAATAATGTCAATGTCTGTTATGTATTTTTCAAATTTTAATTTGTTTTTTAAAGTTTCTGTATATTCTTTATTTATTTTTCTTTGTGGAGTGCTTGTTGTTATTGTAAATATCTTCTACTCAATATTACATGAAGGATTATTCAAGTTGATTTTTTTTTTCTTTACTTTTCCTTTTGAAATTTTTGAATCAGTGTTAATTACAGTTCTATTTTAACTACAGTTCAGATATATTTTTGTTAGTTGGGTTTTCACTTTGATGAACCATTTGCTTTTTATTTGTTTATTCACATGTACTGCTTCTTTTAGTAGTAAGTTTTCTGTAGTTAAGACACGGCTGTAATATTTAATTAGTTGTTTTTTATGAATGTGTCCAGCGGAAATCTACCCAATTCTCTGTAATCACCATTATTTGCCATTGAG